AGAGTTCCGAGGGCTGGGCAAGTTATCAGTTACTCCTATTACGCTACTAACTAGCATGATTTCGCATGCTATTGCTACGCGTACTATCATCGTTAATACAACCTGCGGCATTCTCATTTACAATGTTTTTCTTCTAGCATTTGTTTAGCATAGCGGTTTTTATATCTAAGCCTGGCATTGTTATTGGTGGTGTGTCCTCATAATCTCAAATTTAGAAAGAGCTGTATTCAGAATGATTGTTCTCTGAGCAGTCGTGCTCCTCGTACTCGTTTCCTCATTACGTGATTCTCTTTATGATTCACATTACGAGTACCACTGTCCTTTTGGCATTACGGTCTTGTTCCTAGGCTTCTTGCTGTCTTACCATTCTCCTTCTTCGTATTGCGTGCTTGCTAGATCAAGAACGCCGGGAGAAAGTACATGGAAGGTTTGCAGAACTTGGGTCCTGCGCCCCCCCGAACGACTCCGCTGTTGCAACTGCAAGCATGCATCTCAAGAAAAACCTTGACACGTAATATTCTCCGGTCCATTGATTGCCTTTATGAGTGGGTACAACAATTACCATTAACGGCTTTGATTTCTTATACAATTAGCCGTATGTTTTTGATGAGCATTGAATATGTGTTACAAACATCATGACGAACACCATAATGAGCCCAGAGCAGAATCAGTCTGGGCAAGCTGATTTAACGAAGATGCTAAATCAATAGAAGTGTGTGTTTTTAAATGCTGTTCACCATAAAGCTACATGAAGTTAAGTAAGTTTCAGGTCAAATCAGTATGGGCATCAGTATCAACAGTCAACCGCAACGCTCTTGAATTCATTGCTCATCGCATGTTTGAAGTTTTCGTCTTTTCATCATAGTTCAACATCTTTCGTTTTTCACCAAGTTTCATCATGCCTTGTTGCTTTCCCGTGCTTCTGCATGTTGATTTCTTCCAGAATGTGAGTTTCTCTACGGTATTCCGTCTGTTTCAGCACATTTGATCATTTTCATAATATCTCATTATCTTTCATTTTTCGTCAGTCGTCCATCACGTTTCATCATGTTTACGTAACATTTCAAACTGTCATGATTCTTGTCATGTTTCACCGCTTGCGCCATGTGTCCCCATGTCTCATAAATGTTCATAGCTCACAATTCTTCCATGATACTGCATCATGTATTCATAATATGTTGATTTCTCATTGTATCTCAGCACGTCATGTTCCGCCACTTTCATCATGTCTCACTATTTTCATGGTTTTGCATCACGCTGCATGCATTTTTCATGTTCCTCATAGTGTTCTATAACTTTGTCATCATTTTGCATCACTTGTCATCACTTGTCATCATGTGTTCATCAGGTGTTCATTGTCCAGATTTGGCATCCATTTCATGATTGTTTTCATGTTCTTTCTGCGTGTTGGCGTTTTTCATGATTGTTTATAATGTCCCCTCATGTGCGCAATGTTTTCTGATATTTCATATGTTTTCTTCACTTCTTTCGTTACTTTCATTACTTTGCAACATGCTTCGTCGCCTTTGCTCACTTTGCCATGCTTCACAATTTTCCGCATGTTTCATCATTATGCCATTTTGTTGGTTTTCTTCATTTTTTCATAACTTAATTTCTTTGCTCCCCACTTTGGTGTTTGTTGATGTTCCAAGTCCAGCCGTTTGTGGCACTTGGGCACCCAAACCCTCAATTGATTTTTGGATCAGGATTTTTATTTGTTGATCCTTGTTTGATTGTTGGGAACCCTCACCCCTGAACTTGCTTGTTATGGCCTCGTTATCTTAAGCTGGGCAGGACCATGAGACGGATGATGAGGAGCACGCGGATGCCGCAAGTAGCTCGTCTAAAAGAGAAGGCGCTTGAAAGTCAACGTTTTCGGCGCAACCCCAGCCTTAGGCAACAGCAGCAAGAAGAAGGAAGACCAAGAACAGCAGGGGAATGAAGACAAGGAGGAGGAAAAGAATCAGGTCGCCCAGCAACCGCAAGAAGCAGAAGATGAAGAAAGGGAGCTTACTCTCAAGATTGCTGTAAAGGCCAAGGCCGGAAGGGTCATCTCAACAACTCGTCCTCTTTTTTTCGCCCGCCGTGACCAGGCTCTCATCCAGGAAGTTTATCGACGGCGGAATCCCGCCAAGCTTGGTGAGGTCGGTTTAAGTTTGCATGGGATTTGCAGCGTGTAAGCAAGTGCAACAACGCACTGGGGCAAGTGATCCATGTGGAGGTCAACAGTCTTATGGAGAGATACGCCGGATCTGAGTGCCCGGCTCGGCTAGTCGACTCTAGACCCTGAACCATTGTTATTTCCTGTTATCAAAATTACTAGAACTCGTATTATGGCTAGCGCAGAGATACTTTGAGTTGTCTGAAACCTGGTAATCGCCAAGGATTCATGTGTCACAATGTCATGCAAGATGCTACAGAAAAATGTTGAAGGAACTCGGACGCTACAGACCAGACCTCTTTTAGCTAGCGGCATCAATCGCAAAGAGAAGTGGGAGGAATGTCAGAATAAACGTGAAGCGAAGGAAGATGACGCGTCAGCAGTTGACACATGATTGTTTCGACATGGAGGGACGCTACAAGCTACTGATACCTGATTAGTTTCTCTGGTTGCTTTGTGCTATTCCGCAAGATAACAAGGTAACGGCAGATTCACTGAACCTTCGTAATGCCGAACTTAAGTATAGCAACGATATTCTACAAGAGGCTATGTGCTATGTGTATGAGCATGACGAGTACAACCTCGAACTGTAAACGATCGATGCGCGTCTTGAAGCCTAGATAAATTCTACGAAGAACACCCCGCCCGTGTCGAGATGATAGCGTCACCTGAGGGCTTTCAATCGGACAAGTGGTTACTCCTATGCTGGTCTGGTAATCATTTAATGGGGAGGCGAAGGTGATGTTTGGGAGGGATGTGGCTGGAGTAGAGGAATAGTTGCTTGATGGGGTGGCCGGTGGTATGATCTACCATCGGGGCAAGCGTTCCGCCGAGCTGTTCGCAGAGACTTTGGAGAGGGATCATGCGTCTGCAAGCAGCAAATGCTGAGGCCCCCAAGGGTAGACTCCACGATCCAAACCCCAAGGCTTGCTCTCTACGAACGCGTCTGTGAGAAGTACGGGGACCGGAGAGCGGTTTTGAAACTGCATTGTTCCCAGTGCCACATAACAAAGTGGTTGGATCGGGGCTTCTGAATCGAAATTACTGCTTCTGCAAATCAGTTTCGGCTGGCTAAAGCCTGACATGGCGTCGCGCGAGTAAAGTAATTACTTACTGTGCACGATCACAAGCCAGGCTTGCATTATCTCAGAACCTGTCATGTGCGCTCTCTGAGCACCTGAGCACAGGAGCAAGCGCAAGACATCGAGGGCATCTTTCATAAGGCCTGAACATGCCTGAACATGCAGCCAGTGCAGGAAATGATGAAGCAGTTGTTGTCTTGGCTGTTCGTCTTTTTTGTGCAAGAACTTTTCATGCTTGCACCATTCGGCGGTGCGGGGTGTAACCTGTCCCAGAGGCTGCACAGGAGGTTGCAAGCAGGCGCGCTGAGCTCGCTGCGCGGGGCTTACTGACTGCACCACAGGAGCTAGCAAAGGTCTTGGAGTTTGATTCACTCCCCCGGCACGCAAAGAAAAAAAGCGATTTTTGCCACACAAGCAGGCAGCATCAGTGGCTGACGAACCTGTGCCGACTATTGCGGCACAGACCTTACTTCTTTGCGACGTATGTGTTTCGTGAGAGGCAATGTCGGTGCGTTTTGCTTTGCTGTTGTTGGTCTCTTGACTCTTGCATTCCCTTCTCTGCCCCTGCGTCTTTTCCTGCTAAGCTTCTCGATTTGATTCTGCTGATGCTGCTGGTTGGAAGACGGACGACAACAGCAGCCGCAGCAGCAGCAACAACAACAAAAGCAACGACAACAACAACCCCCGAAAAGCCAAGCCGTCAGCCAGCCATCAGAGACAGAAATCAACAGATCACCACCCCACTGTCACCAGCAAGTACTTCTACGCCTCCAACCACAACAGCTGCTTTTGATGGTTGACGTTGTTATTATGGTAGTTTCCTAAAACAAGGGGACCCCAATATAGACCCCAATATATTATAGTCCATATTATGGGGACCCCAATAAGGTACCCCTAATTTTGGGAAACCCCCTTATGGTGTTGCCTTGGCCTTGGACAGATATTGGGGATTTAAAGGGAGAATGGAAAATGAACTGGAAACTACTATAGTACATTGGGGTTATATTGGGGATAATGGAAAAGAAAATGGAAACTACCATTTAGGATACTTACCCTAAACCCCTAAACCCTAAATCCTAAACCCCTAAACCCTAAACCCCTAAACCCTAAACCCTACCTAAAGCAACCCTTGAGGCGAGAGCCAAGGGCGCCTCGAAGCCAAGTCGCCGCAGCGATGCGGCCGTTCCGGGCGTCTTAGAGCCTTGGGACAAGAATCCTCCGGCAGCCTGAAGTCACAGTGGGATTTATAGGGATTATATAGGGATTATATAGGGGTTATATAGGGGTTTATAGGGATTATATAAGGGTATAGTATATTGGGGTTAAATTGGGGATAATGGAGAATAAAATGGAAACTACTATAGTATATTGGGGTTATATTCAGTAAGAACTTGCACTGGTGGTCATGTTGATGGTCCCGGCGTTGGTGGCAGTGGCTTGCTGACGAAGTTATTTTTAGTGACTTTGGCGGTGATCTTACATTTGGGGTGACCTCTCTGGCGCTGATTTGTACCTGTACTCATAGGCTGGAATCTCTAGAGGTGAGTTGGGATCTCGAGTGAGCTTGCTCGCGGTGATCGGCAGCTCTTGGATGAACTTCCAGTGCTCATGTTGTAATGGTCCCTGGACAGGTTGCTGCCAATTGGTGGGGTTGCTGTATCCGTCGTTCTGTCACCTCGATGCCTACATTCCAAGGATGATGCAGAGGCAGATGCAGAGGAAGCATCGGCATCACCTGAAAAGCTCGCAGATGAGGCCTCACCTGACAAATGACACGTGGCCATCGCCTGATTGATGGCTTGATTTGCCAGGTGCTGGCCGAAGCCATGCAGCAGGCATCACTGCACTGCTCATCAGCTTGTTCAGAAAGTGTTGGCAAGAAAGCTAATAAAGCTGCTGTCGCAGCTGTACCTGGCTTGGAGGTTGAAGAAGAGAAGCCTGAAGAGCCCAGCACAAATCTTAGATCTGACGCACAGCTTCAGAACCTTCAGTTATGCTCACGACAATAACAAACAGGGGCGCCCTGCCCCCTGCACAGCCACGACGGAACTGACGTCGGATGGTCATACGTAAGGCCGCAAGAAGAAACGAAAAGCGCAAAGTCCTGGTGAGGCAGAAGCTGATGCCGCTCCAGAGTCTTTTGGGCAGCAGCTAGGACATGAGAGGGATGACCAAGATTCTGAGATGGGCCATGCTGAAGCTAAGGCATCGAACTGGCGTGCGGAGGGTGAAGCGCAAGCGCCGAAAGCGAGTGCCAAAGGCCGAGCACGTGGCAAAAGAGGACGCAGGCGTCCAGGAAGACAGCCCTGGGCCCGATGCGGCGAAGGAAGGAGCGAGTGACCACGAGCAGAAGTCCAGAAATGAAGACGAAAAGGAGGTGGAAGAAGAGGTCGACGAGGCTTGACAGCCAGCATGTGCGTTTCATTGTTTTTTTTTTTGTTTAAGGGGACTGCAGTGGATTCACTTATGGCCAAGCAAAGGTTCTGAGAGGGGACAAGTCTGAACTGCAATCGTGCCAGGTTGCTGAGGGTGAGGCTGCAAAGGAGCAAGCGGAGCAAGCGGAGCAAGGGTCACCCGAAGCAGCGGAGCCAACGAAAGAGGCATGCACAGTATCTTGCAGAAAACACGATTAAAACGAGAAAGTCGCACCGTCTGCCGTGTTTGGGCTGGGTGGTCGGGTGAGCTATCTGCGCGCTTCTTCAGGAGCCAGCACAAGTGGCAGCTGTCCCAATGCCACCAAGTCAAAATCTGAGCTGCTTGCGGGGCTCAGTTCAGACTTTGTGCGATTGTTGGGGTAGCAACTCGGAAAAAGCAGTTTCACCTCCCTTGGAATTGCCCTGCCTGGAGAAGCAAGAAATTACATAAGCTTTAGAACAGCTAAATCTCTTTTTTCAACATGCAATGCAGGCTTTGCCAACTTTATGCCTTACACTATTTTCCTGTGGACAAGGTCTACCAACCCCTGGGACGAAGGCAAAAGCGGCGCCGAAGCGCCGTCCTGCCGAGCAGAGTCACCAAAAGGCCTCCAAATTAGGTTCATAAAATCTGAGGCTTTAGGTTACAAAAGGGTTGAAGGGTATTAGATAATTTTGTATTGCTGCTAATGGCGTGTTCAGACTTTCTTTCTTAGAATTCTGTATCCTTGCACATGGAGTTGTCTTTATTTACGGGGGAGATGCTGGTGTTATTGCCGGCAGTACTACAGGTATTCCAGTTATGAATCATGGCAATAAGCATTGCCTGTATTAACGGCTATGGCCGTGAAGCGTCCACAAGAATCGAAGTTTCCACCAAACCATTAAAGGATCGCTTGACAATTCCAATCCCAAAAAGAGTCGTAAGAACCTTGTCACTGTGATCATCTCGCCTTGTGATTCTGCTCAGATATGTTGTTTTGGTTTGGTGTTTGTTTTCTTTGTTGGGGGGGGGAGGGGGGGGGG